TCAGGTTCTCCAAAACATGACTATACCTCTTGTGAAAGTCTTATGGAGAAATCATAAAGTCGAAGAAACAACCTGGGAAATCGAAAATCAAATGTGGGCCAAATACCCACACCTCTTCGAAAATCAAAGTACGACAAGTTTGGGGACAAACTTCTATTTAAGAGGGGAGAAATGTGACACCCCAAATGTTTAATTAAACACTGCATTAATATAAGCTAAAACCATATATATACAATACTATATTTCATTTTATAATTCTATGTGGCCAATTATAGTTGTGTATTACTAGAGGGGGAAAAAAAAACCAATAATTATTTTGGATATTTGGGCCAAGGTGTAAATAGGCATAAAATCTAAGCTAATCTCCTTGCTTTCTTGGACGATAAGCTTTCTTGGGAATAAGCTTTAGCACCTGGACACTAGGGATAGGAAAGGTGGCAGAGGTTTTCAGTAACAACGTGTATCTCGAATCCTTGCATCTTTAGTATAAATAGGAGCATAGTATAACCATTTAAAGATAAGAAAAAAGAGTAAGGAAAGGAAAAAGGAAAACAATAGTAGGAATCAATATTAAGGCGAGTAATATTATACCTTTAGTCACCATAAAATATTTTATGCATATCCTGTGTTACCATGATTTATTTTATGCAATTCATGTTTTATAAATTATATTACTATTTCAATTATGTTAATGATTTTATAAACCCTTTTTGTTTAAATTGAAACCCATGGATATGATTGGTTTAAATTTAGAATTTATCTGACAATGATTAGATAAGTATTTATGTTTGTAAGTACCACCACGGGAGTTCCATCCTTTGGGGGACGTAAATGACCATTGGTCACTTTGTGGCCTTCTGTTGCCAGGGATCCATTGACCCCTGTTTTGATTGTCACTCCAGTGATTTCTGTTTTGTTCTGTTCTATACTGTGGTTATGGTTATTTGTTTACATAACTTCTGGATTTCAACTTCTGCCACTTAAATAATTTAATTACTCAAATTAAGTTTGTATAATGTTTTGGCTTAAATACCTATCCATGGTTATTTTGAGCATACACGCTTGGCATAATATCTTTCACTCTGTTGTGTGCATATAGTTGTTACCCCTACAGGTGATGAAATATAAAGAAGAATTGTAACCTCGTGTAATGGGACGAGCACGGAATTTGATGCAGATCTTTTTTGTTTTTTTTCTTCTGTTTTATAATGGTCTGTCACTGAATAATAAAATAAAAAAAGCTCAATGGATGTATTTCCTTTTACTAAAATAATAAAATAAGTAATGAGGTTAATAATCTATTTACTTCTTTCTGACTTTCATTCCACCTCCGCCTACGCGACACTTAATGCCACTTCATTTGTTACAATTAGAATTATTTAGCAAGTTACGATTCTAGCCCTAAGCAACCAGCGTTGGGTCGTGATAGAAATTCCCCCCAAAGTTAATGACCTAAAGATTCTTATTCAATAAAATACCTTCCATAATCTCCAAGGTACTACTTAGGTTAGAAAGTTTTTTTGTTTTTGTTTTGTTTAGTTTTTTTTTTATTTTTAAAGTTGCCTTTTGATCACACTATTTTCTTAGGGATTTAAACTTTGAAAAGGCAATCATTCTTGATTGATCACTAAGGTAGGAGTTCAAATTCAAATCCTTTAATCTGTGAAACCATCCCTTAATTTTTCATGGAATCCTAATCAGAATCTTAATCACTTCCTCTAATTTTTGTAATTGAATCATTGCCTCCAATTAACTTAGATTGCTTCATAATCAAATCACTGTCATTTCTGACTCTCTAGATTTTTGGAATGAAATCTCCACCTTTTTTATTGTTGATCTCGGAATCAAAGAAAACCATTTCCATTCATGACAAGATACCAAATAAGCACATAATTAGCATTCATGCCTATTTAGACGTAAGGTTTCCTCGTCCTAATTTTGGAAGTAAGATCTAAGATTCACTAAATCGCATAAAAAGGCAACATCACAACCCTAGAAGGATGGGTGTCTTGTCCTAGTTTGCAAGGTGCTAATGCTTTCTATACGCAAAAGGTAGGTTTGGTCACAAAATGGTACATCAGTGATTACTATCAATATATCTCTCATTCCACAAGGATATGATCAAACACTACTAATACCATAATTTGACGATTGCCTTATTGATAGAACATAGCCCGCAAATAGTGTCCAAGATATTATGCAATAAGGCAAGTTTCCTTAGTTCTAAAATGATCCAATGCAATTAACAATTAACCAATAATCTCATAAAATATAAATTTTCAAGTCAAACTAACTGAATTCTCCAGCGCAGTCGTCAACTGTGGGCACCGTGCCTTTTTTGAGTCTAAGGCATTGCTTCCCACACCAACTTGCTTTATCGACATGGAGTCGTGTCATAACCCAAACCCCCCTATGGGTTTAGCATCGTAACTGGCCAGTAATCCTAGGATTACTGAAAGCCTCTGAAACAGATTAACAAAATAAAGGGCTAATAGAAGCAAATATCAAACATACAATGTCCATAGAGTTGTGTAGACTTATATAGGACAGTAATTTTTTAACTTATTTTTACATATAATATGACGTCAATCTTACATACAAAAGGAAGATAAACTTGTCCCAACAAAAGAAAAGAACATAAAACTTGAAACTTCAAAACTTGTTTATAAACACAAGCCACAAAACTTCGCCACAAAAAGACTTCCGGAACCTCCTCGAGATGCGCACAAGTTGGCTGACACAAACAGATCCAGACTGGAAGTCTCAAGCCTGATCACATGCCTGATCACCTACATATATAAATAATATAGTGAGTTGGAGCCCAATGAATAACAATGAAGCAAAGGTTTTACGAATGATGTCCACAACAAATTCAGAAATTAGAGTTTAGTTTAGAAACAAATTCATATTCATATATCAGATTCTCACATATAATCAAACGCGGTACATCCATTAGCGTTAATAAATCCGATGGCTCATGAATACATGAGACTTACAGATGACCCATGTTTACATGGGACGTTAATAAGGATCAGTATTCAGATGGCTCATGAGACGTACAGATGACCCATAATTTTATGGGACGTTAATAAGGATCCATATACAGATGGCTCATGAGATGGACAGATGACCCATAATTCTATGCGACATTAACAGAGTAGATAACAGATATCACATGATGCTAAGGATACCATGAATACATTTTAGAAAAGTGGACAATCATTCATGATTTACAAAATAACATTTCAGAAAACATATAAGATCATATTGTACATAAAATACTTTAAGTCAAATATAGCTTTACAGAGTTATTACTCATAGATAACTCCAAAAGCAGAACAGACAAATCAAACAGATCAAACGGTCTATGGCGCATGACCTACAAAAACACATAACGGATACACATTGAAACACACGCTCGGAAAATACTTAACTTATTTCTTTTCTATCTTGGTATCTTTCTAACTCTTTTCCTTATTATTGTGTCTTACTTAAGGCTTAGGAATGCCTAGCATGCAATGAGGATGTCAAAATGTACTTGAAAATACTTAGCAAAATTTTTAGAAACAGGGTAGTTCACTTGAGCACAACTTTGGTCGCTCGAGCGGACCCCTTAGTTTGCAAAACTTTTGAAAGCTCTCATTTTACACTTGGACGAAGATGTTGGTCACTTGAGCCAAGACTAAAAACAAAGGGTGGTCGCTCGAGCATAGGTTTTGTCGCTCGAGCCAAGGCTCATGTTTGCAAAAGTACTAGGAGCTTGCATTCTTCGCTCGAGCTAAGCTTTCACCACTCAAACGAAGAGTGCGAATTCTGGAATTTCCAAATTGTTCTCCAATCTTCAAAACTCAAATTCTTTACATCAAAACACATCCTTTTTGGGCCAAAACTTAAGAAAATACTTATAAACTCATAGGACTTCGTGAATTGAAAGCTATTTCGCAAAATCAAGCCCAAAAGCAAGTGAATTATTCAAAAGCAAAACTTGAAACTTTGAAAACATAACATGCATGTAATGATATGAACTCCAACCTTCCAAAACATGATCAATTGGGCTAAAATGATGTAAAACAAGATGAATTCCCAAAACCAAGTTAAAACATTAGCATGCAAAAGAGAATTCCTTGAAATTAATTTCAAAACATAATGAAATCAACATGCATGCATAGAATGATCTTTCATTCCATAATTTTAGTCCAATTCAAGTGTGTAATCACTAAATTCCCTTGAATCTCATGCAATTTTCCTATACAACTCATGAATTCGTCTCCTACAAGGAATAAGCACAAATTATGGACTATGATCTTACTTAGAGCACAAATTCAAGATGTAGAAGCTTAATTCTCTTAGTTTCTTCCCAATTCTCTTTTTCTTTCAATGTTGGCTCTCTCTCTCTCTCCCCCTTACATTTGTATGCTCAAGAGGATGAAGAAGTGTAAGTGTAAGGATGATTCTAGAGTTCCATTAGCCTTATGCAGGCTTGGATTAAATTAAGTTAATTAAGTGTAATTAATTCTTCTTAATTTATTCTAATTATTTCATTCCGAATCGAATTCCAATTAAACCCACCATAAAATTCTAAAAATTCTCAATTACATGATAACCTAGTGGATTTCGTGTTCGGATGCCGTTAAGGCCTTCAATTCGCATATTGAAATAGAAATTCATACAGATATTTCTATGTTAGACAAATATAAGCACAATTAACACAAAACACATGCAATTAACTCAGAATTTCTTCCTATTTACTCATTAGGCATTCTTAATCATGGTTTATTGACTAATCACAGATCGGGGTTGTTACAGTCTTCCCCCCCTTAGGGAGTTTGGTCTTCCAAACTCGAATTACCTTCATTACGAAAGAACGTCGGGTCCAATGAGAACAAATTAGGATATCTCTTCATTATATCTTCTTCAGTTTCCCACATCACATACGTGCCTCCATGATTTTGCTAATCAACTTTCACCAATGGAATTTCTTTGTTTTTCAATCTTTTGATTCAGCGATTAACAATCTGTATTGGTCGTTCTTCATAAGTAAAATCATCTTTCAGAAGTACATGGGTCAGTTCAATGACATGAAGTGGATCTCGCAAATAGTCTAGGAGCATAGAAATGTGGAAAACATTGTGCATATTTTCCATAACTGGAGGTAGGGCCACTTGATACGTCACTGGATTGATTTTCTCAATAATCTCATATGGGCCAATGTAACGTGGTGCCAATTTTCCTTTAACTCCAAACCATGTCTAACCTTTCATTGGGATCACTTTGATGGACACGTGATCACTGACTTCATATTCTCAATTTCTTCTTCGGACATCAGCATAACTCTTTTGATGACTCTGTGCATTTTTCATCTATTGTTGTATTAGTTTCACTTTCTTAGTCGTCTCTTGAACCAATGCCAGTCCATCCCCTACTTCAGCCTAACAAATCGGAGATCGACACTTCCTACCATATAGAGCTTCATAAGGAGCTATTCTAATGCTTGAGTGGTAGTTATTATTATACACAAACTCGGCTAGAGGCAAGTACGTCTCCCAATTCCCTTGGAAATCTAACACACACATTCTCAACATATCTTCCAAAGTTTGAATGGTTCGTTTAGATTGGCCATCTGTTTGAGGATGATAAGCACTGCTCAGTCTCAATTCAGTTCCCAAGGCTTGTTGTAAACTCTGCCAAAATCTTAAGGTGAACTTAGAGTCTCTGTCGGATACAATAGACACATGTACTCCATGCAATCTCATAATTTCATTCACATAGATGCTAGCCAATTTATCCACAATATAAAAAGCTTTCACAGGAAAAAAGTGAGCAGATTTAGTCAATTGATCAACAATGACCCAGATAGAGTCCATACCTTGAGAGGGGCGAGGCAGTCCAACAATGAAGTCCATCGTAATATGCTCACATTTCCATTCTGGTATTGGAAACAGCTGAAGCAGTCCAACGGGTCGTTGATGTTCGACTTTCACTTGTTGGCAGTGCAAACACTTGGCTACATAGGCAGCAATACACTTTTTTCATACTAGGCCACCAAAAATTCTGTTTCAAATCTTTGTACATTTTTGTGTTCCCCTGATGCATGGAAAATTTAGACTTGTGAGCTTTGGTCATAACACACTTTCTCAACTCTGAACAATCCGGTACACAAAGCCTTCCTTAAAATTTCAGTACATTGCCTTCAAACACAAATTCGGGCCTCGATTTTGAATCAATCTCATTAATTTTTATTTTTTTTCAGAAATTCATCTTCTAATTTCTTCAATTATGGCTGGCTATGCAGAAATGGTGGCTAGAACCCCACCTTGCTCATGTAACATAATTTCAATGTCGTTTCTTTCTAAGCCCCATAACAATTCTTTCTAACTGGTAAGCAAACATGCTAAAGTCCCAATGGATTTTTGGCTCAAAGCATTTGCAACTGTATTTGCCTTTCCCGGATGATACAGAATTTGCAAACCATAATCTTTTATCAGCCCGAGCCATCTCCTCCGCCTCATATTCAGTTCTTTCTGAGTAAAGAAAAGTCACTCCATACAAATAATGGCACCAGATTTTCAAAGCAAAAACTACAGTTGCAAGTTCAAGGTCATGGGTAGGATAATTCTTTTCATGTGGGCGGAGTTGCCGATATGCATACGCAATTACCTTACCATTTTCCATTAATACGAATCCTAAGCCTTTGTACGAAGCATCACTGTAGATTTGGAACCCATCAATATCATTAGGCAAAGTCAAAATTGGTGCAGTTACTAATTTGGTCTTCAATTCTTGAAAGACAGATTCTCTTTGGTCATTCCAATCAAATGGTACATTTTTCTGTGTCAATTGAGTCAATGGCATGGCAAGTTTGGAGAAGTCTTTCACAAATCGGCGATAATATCCAGCAAGTTCCAGAAAACTTCTAATTTCTATTACAGTGGTTGGTCTTGGCTAGTTCACAATAGCCTCAATTTTCTACACGTCAACAGATATGCCATCCTTGTTGATTACATGCCCCAAAAATGTCACACTGTCCAGCCAGAATTTACATTTGGAGAGTTTTGTATACAATTTCGTTTCCCTCAAAATCTATAGCACAGTTCTCAAATGATTTTCATGTTCTTCCCTGCTTTTAGAATAAATCAGAATATTGTCAATAAACACAATGACAAACTCATCAAGGAATTGTTTGAACACCCTATTCATTAAGTCCATGAAGGCTGCTGGTGCATTAGTTACCCCAAATGGCATTACTAAAAATTCGTAGTGTTCGTATCTAGTTCGAAAGGCTGTTTTCTCAATATCTTCTACTTTGACCTTTAACTGGTGATACCCGGATCTAAGGTCTATCTTTGAAAACACTTGGGTTCCCTGGAGTTAGTCAAACAAATCATTTATTCGGGGTAGTGGATATTTTTTTTTCATAGTCATTTTATTCAATTCCTGGTAATCTATGCACAACCTCAAGGTTCCATCTTTCTTCTTAACAAACAAAACTGGACCACCCCAAGATGAAGTGTTCGGTCGGATAAATTTCTTATCTAGCAATTCTTGAAGTTGAACTTTCAATTCTTTCAATTCAGAAGTGGACATTCTATAAGCGATTTTGGAAATAGGGTGTGTTCCAGGTATTACCTCAATAGCAAATTCAATTTGCCTATCTTTCAAATCTTCGGGTAATTCATTAGGAAACACAACAGGAAACTCATTAACTATAGGGATCTTGTCGACATTAGCACTATCAATAGTCACATTCAAAACACAACACAAATAGCCCCGGCAACCCTTTCTCAATAGATTTTTGGCTTTCATGGAAGAAATCAAGTACGGTGGAGGAACAAAACAATTCCCACAAATCACAAATTCAGGCAAACCGGGTGGTCGAAACACAACAATTTTATTCACACAATTAATAGTGGTATAATACTCAGTCAACCAGTCCATACCTAATACATAGTCCAAATGATCAATATCCAAGGGTAGCAAATCAACATACAACAACATATCACCAATCAAAATATCACATGCCGGGAAAACATAAGCACATATCATAAAACCCCCAAGATGGTGTAGATACATATAACAAGTAGTTCATAGTTTCTAAGGGTCTAGTCAATTTTCGAGAAAAAGCATGTGATACAAAAGAATGTGTAGAACTAGAGTCTATCAAAACATATGCATTCTAAGAACAAATAGAAAAGGTACCTGACACCACAGAGTTAGCTATTTGCACGTCGCCAGGCACAAGTGCAAAAACTTTACCTTGCTTTAGAGTTTCTTTCCCAGTATTGGTTCTCATATTTGATCTCAGTGCAGAAGTAGATCCAGCTAAACTTGCCGTGGGACAGTTAGTATTTTCATATATGAATTCACAGTCTTTCACCATATGGCCAACTTTGTCACACCGGAAACAAGCATCAGTTGCACGGTAACAGGCACCTTTATGTATTCTCCCACATTCAGAGCAAACAGGTGAAGATCCACTACTTTGACTTGAACTGCTAGTAGATCTTGTATTTTGCTTCTTCTTCATGGAAAATGAGCAACCCTTTTTGAAATTGAATCCAGATCTTTTGCATCTCCACTCATTTGTTGGAGCTTTAGTCTGTTTCATTGCTTCTAAGTTGGCTTCTATCATTAAGGTTCGGTCAAGCACATCTACATACATGGGCAATTTTAACACGCTGACTTGATCAAACACATCTAGGTTGAGGCCTCTTTCAAATTTCCAGGCTTTATTATAATTTATGTCTACTATGTGAGAAGCAAATTGAGCTAATTCAGTGAACTTAGCTTCATACTCAACAACAGACATGTTGCCTTGCTTAAGTGGTTCAAACTCTGACACTTTTTTGTCTCGAAAGAACTAAGGGAAATATTTCTCATAAAAGATCTCTTTAAACTAATTCCATGTCATGGCCCCATTACTATCTCGGATCAACATCCACCAACACTAGTCTTCCTCTTTCAAAGTGTAAGGAGCCAATAAAACTTTCTGAATTTCAGTACATGGAAAGACTTCAAATAATTTTTCAATTTCTAACATCCATATTTCAACTTTCAATGGCTCAATACCACCCAGAAAAGTCAGTGGGTTCATCTTGTTAAATTTTTTGCGTCAAACTGATAATGTAATTATTCATTAGCTCAAATTGTACTAGGGAATGCAATGGAGGCAAAGGTTGTTGTTATTGTTGTTATCTCATGGATTTGGTTAAGGCTGTAAGCATTCTCTCCATTCGATCCACCTGAGCATCGGAGGATTCAGTTACATCATCACTTCTTGTTCTCTTCATTTGCTATCAGCAAGCAAAACGATAATAAACATAGGCAAATAATTCTTTCCACAGATTTCATAGTGTTCAGTCTCATTTTATTCCATGTTACACATGATTAACACACACACACACACTCACACATGCAGATGTCATGTCCTTAATTCTTTTCTAGGACATCCTATAGCTCATATGGACTTGTGTGTGCGGTATAACTCATGCTCTGATACCACTCTGTCACGACCCAAACGCGCCCCTATACGTTTAACATCGTAACCGACCAGTAATCCTAGGATTACCGAAGGCCTCTAAAATAGATTAACAAAATAATAGGCTAACAGAACCAAATATCAAACATACAATGTCCATAGAGCTGTGTAGACTTATATGGGACAGTGAATTTCCAACTTATTTTTACATATAATATGACGTCAGTCTTACATACAAAAGGAACATAAACTTGTCCCAACAAAAGAAAAGAACATAAAACTTGAAACTTGTTCACAAACACAAGCCACAGAACTTGGCCACAAAAAGACTTCCGGAACCTCCTTAGGAGGTGCACAAGTTGGCTGACACAAACCGATCCAGACTAAAAGTCTCAAGCCTGGTCACATGCTGATCACCTACATACATAAATAATACAATGAGCTGGAGCCCAGTGAAGAACAACGGAGTGAAGGTTTTTTGAATGATGTCCATAACAGATTCAAAAATCAGAGTTCAGTTCAGAAACAGATTCATATTTATATCAGATTATCACATATAATCATATGTGGTGCATCCATTAGCGTTAATAAATCTGATGGCTCATGAATACAAGAGATGTACAGATGACCTACGTTCACATGGGATATTAATAAGGATCCATATTCAGATGGCTCATAAGACGTACAGATGACCCATAATTTTATAGGACGTTAATAAGGATCCATATACAGATGGCTCATGAGACGTACAGATGACCCATAATTCTATGGGACATTAACACAGCAGATAACAGATATCACATGATGTTAAGGATGCCACAAATACATTTCAGAAAAGTGGACAATCATTCATGATTCACAAAATAACATTTCAAAAAATAGGTCATATCATATTGTACAGAAAATACTTAAAGTTAAACATAGCTTTACAGAGTTGTTACTCACAGATAGCTCCAAAACCAGAACAGACAAATCAGATGGATCAGACGGTCTATGGCACGTGACCTACAAAAACACATTACGGACACACAATGAAACACACGCTCGGAAAATACTTAACTTATTTCTTTTCTATCTTGGCGTGTTTCTAACTCTTATTCTCATTATTGTGTCTTGCTTAAGGATTAGAAATGCCTAGGATACAATAAGGATGTCAAAATGTACTTGAAAATACTTAGCAAAATTTTTAGAAACAGGGTAGTTGTAGATACCCCATTTTTGACCACCCTTAAGACTTGGGCGCTTTATTCTGAACACCTGATGATGAAAGTTATACTGTGTAATCTTTTGAATTCTCAGCGAAGAAATTTGGATTCAAGCTCTAATCCCATACCTTATACCCCATTTTGGCCAAACTATTTTAGACCTTAAAACCCTCTTTTTCAAAAAAAAAAAATTTCAAATGTTTCTACGATGTTCCGAGGCTCGTATTTCATTTAAAATATTGCACTTTTCGGTAAACCGAGTAAGGACAAAGTGAAAATAAATGGAAGGGAGGTGAACTCTTTGAAAATATTATAAAATATATATAAATATATATATATTATTTAGAGGTTTGGAGTTGAAGGAAATAGGAGGGGACGGAAGAAAACTAGTTTAGGAAGAAGTTGAACATCAAACCGTTGAGAAAGAATGAGCAGCCCTCACTAAAATAGGCATATCACTTTGCAAACTTTGAATTTAGATGTGAGGCCACTACCATTGGAAATTATACTTCCAAACCTTCAATTTAGCCTCAAGCATCACCTAAAACCGAGTTCGGATGAGGGAGATATGCCCATTTGAAGTTGGGCCTAAAATGCAGATTTTTTTTTAAGACTCGGCCGGGTCCATTTAGAACTGGCCGTGCCTCATTAAGGCCTGGCTGGGCCTTAATGAAAACTTTTTCCAGACTTGCTTTTTAGGCCCGACCAGGTGTCAATGGCGCCAGACAGACAGCTGGCGAGAATTGAACAAATATCTTTGTTTGAAGATATTTTTGACCATTTTGGCTCTAATTCTATAAATAGGACCTCGTCCTTTAGAATTCAAGGTTAGCAAAATTTCCAAAAGCTTTGAAGAGCTAAATGGACCTCCTTCCATATTACGTCCTCCTTTGATCCTCAAACCTTCTTTAGCTATACATACACAATACATACACCATTAGAGCTTGTTCTTGAAGCTTTTTGTTAAACTTTCAAACCATGTTTCATAAACTTCATGGTGTTTGGAATCCAGTTTGATCAACAACCAAAGCTTGCTCTCTTCAAGACGTATAAGCTTGTCACCTTTTCCTTGCTTTCATTTCCATCTTTTTCTATCTTTTTCTTGAGTTTTTATACTATTTTGGATTCGTTCCAAGTGCTGAAACTTGGGGTTAAAGAGCTACCAAAGGGTAAAGAGGTTTAACACCCTTTCTTACACCTTATCCCATAGCTCATACCCTTTGTTCTTGCACTTTTTTCTTTGTTTTTTTACACTGATTTTCAGAGTTTAAAAGGCTGAAAAACATGGTTTAAAAGTCTCAGAAGTGGAGGGGTTAGCCACCTCTCATTCATTTTGCTTCTAGCTTTATATCTCTTGCTTTTGTCTATCTTTTTGTGCTCTTTAAACACACTTTTAGCCACTGCTTTTGGGCTGTTTTGGGACTGTTCTTGGACTGTTTTGGGGCTGAAATATGTGATTTAAAATTGGAAAAAGTGGAGGGGTTAGCCACCCCTCCTTAGGCTTTGTTCCATAGCTTTTTCTCTACTCTTTTTACTTACTTTCTCTTGCTTTTAGCTACTATTTTTGTACATTTTAGGGGCTGTTACGGGCTGTTTAATTCATTTAAATAGTTTATGCTTTGAATATCATACTTGTTGTGCTATAAGTCCTCATGGCTTCAGTTGTTTAGGCCTTAGACACCGAGTCATTTGAGTTGATAGCTTTGTATACTTATTTTTCATGCGAAGAGTTTCATTTTAAATAATCAATCTCGCATAACCATTTTCGTAACCTCCCTCTTTTCTTCTTTTCTTTTGTTTGAGAGTTATTTCAACCGATTGATAGTTATTCAAAGCATGAGAAAAAGAACTATGCTCGATGGCTTAATCTCTACGGAGGTTCATCGTCAACGGCATGGTCTCTCTTTCATGCTTAGAAGTATGAGTTCACTCTATGGTAGGAGGAAGGGGTGGTTGTTATTCATTGCGTTTATTGATCTTTGTCCAAATTGTATCCGAAATCGTCAAGCAATCAAATTTCTCATTAATGGTTTCAGAAATGATTCCAACCTTCTCTTGTAGCTTTCCCATGATAGAGAAGTGTGAGAGGGACAAATAGAGCTCAGAAAACTCTGTCCGCACTGTTTTCACCTCAGAGTAGAAAAACAGGATTTTGCATAAAATTAAGGCACGACTGACCTTATTTGGGCCCGGCCGGGCTTCATTGGGGCCAACCGACTATCAATGTTTGGTAAGGCAGTGTGTTTTTGCAGAAGTAGAGGGTAGTGACTGGGGTGGAACAGAGTAACCTGGGCAGACAGAGAAACTTTTGGGTATCGCACATGCAATCATCGTGCCTCATGGTTGTTTGAATTAGTATTATAATTAGTTATTGATTGTCGTAATAAATATTGTTATAGCAATGTTTCGTTAGATGATTAGTTTATTTTGTTGTAATAGATTAGCTAGTTAGTTAATTATAGCTTACCTAGTTAGTTACTTATTCATTCATTCGGTTTTGTAATAATTAGTTTAATTCAGACTCTCGGACATTGATTCACACCCTTGTAGACACCCCATTTTTGACCGACCTTAAGACTCAGACGTCACCGATTGAGCGCTTGGTGATGTTGCATAATGTGCTCGTTCAGAAGTTTTAGAGTCGCGGCCGTGAGCCCTGCCTCCGGACTTCCGAACCCTCTTCTGTGCCTTACCTCGGTTTGCGAACCAGACTCGGTTTTCTCTGTTTCTTTTCCTGAGGGGAGGGAGAGGTCCTGTAGACTATCTCTCAATGTCCGTAGGCTACATTTGGTGGCCGTAGGCCATTTTTCCCATTTCGGAGTCCGGTTCCCGATTTTCGGGACCGTAGGCCGTGTGCCTCGGTTCGGGACCGCTTAACCATCTCCTATCGCTCTAATTTTTGGCATACTTCTTATTTAATCCCTTTTGAGGAACACTGGGGTCAGAGAAACCCACTTCGTGGCCGAATGCCACTTTCGGTGCTTAACAGCCCATTTTCGGGACCCCGAACTGCGTGTTTTGGTCCCCGAGCATTCGTTTTGCAACGGTTTTCGTTCATTTTTGGCAGGTACCTCTGTTTTATCACCGGGGAGGTCACTGAAGGGTGGGAGGCCAGCAATTGTTGCA